AGATTGTTTAAAACAGCTTTGATTTTTATAGAACTAAAAAAGCTTTGATTTTGTGTTAATTAATTACTATTTTAGGTAATAATTTAATTATTTTCAATTGTCAGTGTAATAAGTTGATGATGAAATTTTAGAATCAATCGTGTTAATACCTTTTTGTGTGATGCGTTCTTCCACTAAATCAATTCTTCTACCGAAAATAATTCTTCTTTTAAATGATCACGAATCATTTCTGCCACAAATTCCGCAATTATCTTTCCAATAATCTCTGCTCTTTCAGAAAACATTGAACTTTCCTTTTTTAGCAAGTTGTATTTTGTATAAAATTTAACTACAAAATTTTCAGTCCATCAGTTATACGAGTATATTGTTTTGAAAGCGACAAAAATGTTTTATCTTGCTCAGCATAAAAAATCGCATTTTCCACTCTATTAGCATATGCGATTTTATATAATAAATGTGTTTATCGTTTTAAACGCTAAATTTTATCAAAATACTTCTTCAATTCAGAGAATCACTGTGCGTGCGAGTGAGTCGAATGCTTACTGAAGTGAGCAATATTTCGATTGGCGCACGATCTACTTGCTGCGTTCAGAATCATCATCCGAGATTCAGAATCATCCACCCAGATATAATTTTATCTTTAACATTTGATGAAATAAAATGAAATTTATAAAAAGGTATTGATATTTACCTATTACGTTTATCAAATTATTACAATAATTATTTAAAAAATTGATTTCTTCAGAAATCATGGGCCAACGGCTGAAACAGCCGGACACGTATCCTTTTTCTTTTCAAAAACAATCTGTAAAAAGTGAATAAAAATTCTAGACACCGTCATCTGATGTTCCATTGTAAAGTAGAATTTTAAGACATCCACATTGCTCCTCCGTGCAAACTATTATTTGATCTATGGACTATTATTTCATAAATACAAATTATATAATTTTTATATAAAGAAATTGTTGTTACGACATAACAACTCAAACATTATATTAGACTAAAAAATGATAAAAAGATTTCAGTTTCGAAACTTTTTGGCATTATCAGTATTAAGACTCTACTTCGCAGATACATATTCTTTAATACTAGAAAAGGATTTTCAAAGGAGTAAGAAAGAAAAAAATAATTGTTATACAAAAATTATGTGTTTCATTAATACAGATGACTTTAGAATTTACTTCGTTTTTAAGGGTTCCACTGTCCCTCTTTAAGTGCAAAACATCTTTCAATATTAAAAGTGTGATCGAGTTTATTTATACTCTGCAATATTTGTTGAATAATTTGTTGAAATTGTCTATTTTATTTTATTTTTTTATTTTATCATAATCTAACTAAGCTTTTTTATTATATTATTTTCGTTTCGAAAACAGAGAATTTGTGTCTTTAAGGTAGAGAATTTGAATTGTAATGCAAGGAATATGTATTTTAAAGCAGAGAATTTGTCTGTTACATTT